TGTGCTGAACACCGACTTTGGAAATGTTATGCTGAGAAAACGCGTTTAAAGTCTTACTTAACATTATTATATGAATAAAATGAACAGAAGTCACGTTTATCTTTACCTGGTAATTCCAGCGCCACCCAACTTCCTTTCCAAATTGATGTCATCCTCTCGCCAGGCTCTTTTCGAAAAGTTTTTGAGCTTCTTCATGCCTCGTTTGCCGCGTTCGGTATATTTCGCGCTCGACAGCCTTCATGCGGTTCGTGACTACCTCCATCTAAAAAGTGTAACGATTTTGGCCAATTGACGTTTGCAATATCTCCAATAACATCCATCAGACGTGTGGGCCTATCATTAACCCTTGTGTGGGCTATTTCTATATTTTCTTTCACAATTTTTTATGTTCCTGTCTAGAACATCACTTGGTATATTATAGGAAGGGAAAACTAAGAGTTCCGGAAAAATATGAAAGTAAAATTATCTATCTATCTACAGTAATGTTTCGATGAGTGCGACGTACACGGGTCCACTAAGGAGTATTCACATAAGGCGGAAGGGTTGTCAGCCCCTCCATACATTTGCTTTTTGCCCGCAACCGAGCCTCTACTTAGCTTCTGTTTACCCTGTTTTGATTGGTCCCACAGAGGTGGGAATAACGCCATTGCTCGTGTTGCATTCATCCAGGAATCACTGTAATGTGTCAGAAGAGAAGGTTTGAAGTACTCCCATTGTTCAGTAATGTGAACATTTTGGTTGGCCACACAAGGGTTAAATGTGTAAATGGTTATATCTACTGCAATATTAGCTAGCACTTTGCCATTGTATACGTTTTCAGTGGCATCGATCAAACGACTGATTCTGAGTCAAAGATTAGTTGTTGTTTTGAGTATACTTTCCTAAACAAATGACTTAATAACTCGTTTCTGCTCAGTTACTTACAGGCTTTATTAAATATACCATTTATATTAATTTCACAAGTTTCTTGCGATATCTTTAAATTTTTCGGAGACGTGCGTATATTGTCCGTTTCTTGTTCTTTTGAAAAACGATTGGACGGACGTCTGTTTGAAATCCCAGACTTTCTAGGTCGTTGAGTTGTGCTTCTAGAGTCGTTTTTGTTCTGTATACTTTTTCTCAACATTCATCGCTGTAAAAACGTTTGCGAACAAGGAAACTTGTCAATAAACAAAACGGCGTCGTACCGTCGTATGGCGTCATACAAACAAACTGTGTTATGTCCATAGACGTACAACTAGACCCCATGGTTTCAATGTCTCCCGTAGTCAGATCGTGTCAAAAATTAGAACGAGATAGCTGCTATATAGAGACTTCACTAAATTTGATCACTGCTTGCTATTTATTTGATTTGCATTTAATTCGTACTTTGGTCTGTTGAGAAAGAAGCGTTAGTTGATTGCTACACTCTAGTGGTGATTCAGCGATCGTTAAGTATGAATCATTTTTTTTTCTTTTTCGAGATTTTATGGCATGATTAGTTCAGTTCGAAGGAAATTGAAGCCAATCGCAAAACTGGTACGGTTGAAATAGATAATTGGTGTGAGATACGGAGTTGCTGTTGCGTGAAACCACGAAGCAATGCCTGTGCCACAAAAGAGCAGTTAATATAATATGAAACTGAATCGAGTAATCTCTTTGTCAAAAGAAAGAAGCTCTGTATAGGTCGTAATTACCATTTATTTAATTGTGAATTGAGTCATGTAAATGCTTGAAACGGAAAATCGTTATAGAACATATGCAATTTAACTCTATATTCACGATACAAATTCCCTTTAAAAACTTTCGTATTAAATCGATCGTTTAATGATTATAGCAACTTATAAACAGTTATTAAACTTGGAATACTATCAAACGATTCATCGGTAACTAATTAGTTAACCAGCTATTCATAATCACCTAATAGTTTTCATTCTTGTGATATGAATTACGTTATGAGAAATTAATAGTTAATCTTACATTTGAGAGAAAAGAAATTTAATGCTGATAGAAAATTTTCTGATCCAACGCTATGCAACTTATGTCCCAAAGCACTTGACGAAACAAGGGGTCTCGGAAGTTCCCACAAAGGCGGTTCAAAATGCCGGAGATGGAAGGTTTTATGATTTGGGAAGGTAGGTTGGTTCTTCGTGTTCCTTGCCCGCTCGATTTCTTGGCCTGTTCGAAATACCGTACGATTAGATTGTTTCTAAAGGACGTTTCTTCGACCGATGCGACGTGTCTTGCCAGATTTCAGGTAGTTTCTCGTTCCATGAATTTTCGGTTATCCATTTACCGGTGAAAACGTCGGTCCTTTGTCTGTTCCCTTATACCTGAACGTACAACGTGATACTTTTAGACCCGGGCCTCATCTATATAAATTTCTCAACTTAAGTATAATTGGAAATAATATTTTTCATACGCTTTTTAAACGTTTTTAAACTGTTGAATATTGGTAATAAACGACATTTAATACGTACATTCATAGAAGCATTTATGATGTAGTTTTAAAAACAGCAGAAATGGAGCATACTTTTCATTGAATCTTTATAACTTCTTTATTCGAAATAAATAAATTAAATTATAGTACTATAACACTTTCTTGAGTCTTTCTCAGTCAATATAAATATACCTCGAAGTGAAAATTCTCTAACTTGTAAAACATTGAAAAATCAAAATAAAACTTGAACTGTAATTTTTTGAAAACATTCTCCAGAACTTTTAAAATTGCGATTATAATTGAAATCGTTCACAGACAATTTAGTACATTACTTCAATTTACTTTAAGAGGTCCCTCCAGTCAAAACGTTCAAAGAATAGGAGATATTTATGATTTTTTATTAAAAGAAAAATATACAGATTGTGGAATAGTTTATTGGCTTTTATTAATACACCCTTTAGGATAATCAAAAATTGTTTGTTTCCACTTTATCGTCGTTAGTGCATTTGGTAGGAGGCGCCTTAGTGTAGCGCTTCCAACAAAAATGTTTAAACGGTAGGTAGCCATGAAATATGGTCAGAGAATCGTCAGAAATCAAGAATCAAAAAAGTTTTGACAAAAAACCAAAAGTACGATGATTGGTGCGTATTTAAACTAAATAGTGCAACAAGACGGGTAATTTCAAGCATATAAATGCAAATAAAAAAGGATTCCGTGTTTCGAAAGTTATGTTTGTAGATGATGCGATAGCCAGTCTAGATGTGAATTGAAACAAAAAATTTTATTATTGTCCTAAAGAGTGTATTAATAAAAGCCAATAAGCTATTTAGCGATATGTTATAAATTTTTCTTTTCACAAATTCATAAGTATCGCTTATGTCTTGAACTTTTTGACCGAGAGGTCCCCCTGAAATGTATCTATGTAGATTCTAGATTTGTTCGAAGTCTTTACAAGAAACTTACGAAGTCTTTATTCGAAGTCTTTGCATGTTGTTGTGTAACTGAATGAAATCCTGTCCGAATAGTGTCATTTTGTACGTTTTTTTTTTTTTTTTTACATTTCTGACATGGGGTCTATTAGAAATAAATCATCGTTATCCGTAAACGGTTTACGTCTACGCATAGAGGCGCTCGCATTTTTGAGTAAACGACGTATTGTTCGAACATTTCTTGTAGAGTTGTATCGATCTGTCTGTAATCCAGCTTGGATTTACGTGATATGCAGGGACCGAATGGTGATACCGTATAAACCTTAAATCACTGTTACACGGGGCTCGTGAAATAGATAACGATGAATCAATATGGATAAATCGTGTTTCGTTATAACCGTATTGTTGGTTTTTTTTCCAAAGAAAATAAACATCACTAGTAACATTTGATGAACTTGATTTGAATTAAAAAAATAAAAATTAAAAATCTGAATTAAAAAAAAAACTTAATAAAAATAGGTTTGATAAGTGTTTAATTTTAGAAAGTATGTTGTATTCAGTATTTCACTGATCGAGAGTAGGTATTCAGTAAATCTCTGCATTCAAGGAAATGTATGTTTGGAGATAATGTTTACGGATCCGTAAAATTCTATTTTTTATACAAGGAAACACCGATGGACTGAGTTTACGCAGCAACCCAATATTTCGATAGAATTGAAGTCTGATGTAGGGGCTCAGTCTTCATTTACGGTGGAATTAAATTAGACCGACAATTAAGATCATTAGAATTCACGATAATATATTTATTTTAAGTAACCTCTAAAGTATAGTCTACTAAGTAAGCGCCCGTGAGGAGTCATACAACGCCGTGTGTACCAAAAATGGTACACCGTATAGAGTTTGGTAAATATGTACAAATTATCTTTTAGCTTTGTGTTGCCCGAAAATTTATTCATTATGACAGTAAATGTTGAAATTATCACAAAATGCACTGTATGATAAAAAAGTAACTATTTGTACTGCAACTGTACAAAAATAACAAAAAAAAGTTAAGACATAAAATAGAATCCGCAAAAAAAAGTACAGAAAGTATATGTGGAATGTTTTTCGTTTCTAATCGAACGTTACGATGTACTTCTTTGTAATAAAGAAGACATAAATACGGTTTGTCGGAGCAATCGTTACAAAATGTGGCCAACCATTTGGTTTTAGCTCTTGCAATTACAGTACTGGAATTCTTTATTCTGAATTGTTGCAAAGCATAAAATGATGTATTCTTGGGAAGTATCGAACCAGCTAAAGTAACTGCACGCAACTAAAGGGGAATGCATTGCGTATCTAAAGAAAACTGAATTGCGCAACGGACAACTCATTACTACGTCGCGTCGTGTGTACGATTTGTGGTACACGGTTTAAAAACTGCAACAAACATCATTTTACCAATAATTCCTTTTTTGTAATTTACGTATCAATGACGAAAACGCCATTTAGAAATGAGGTTCGCCATGTATCACATTTGGTACACGCGCCACTTAACGTGCTAAGCAATTACCGTCTTTATCTTATTTTGAACTTGTCTTGATTTAGTTAACATTAGATTAATTATTCGTTGTAAAATGTGTCTAAACAATGTTCGTTTCTTTTTGTTACAGAATGCAGCTACGGCAAAGACAAAGGAGCCAACCTCCTCGGCATCAGTAACGAACAACTCCAGTAATAACGGCACGTCCGGCACTAATGGCGGCCATGCACCCCTTCGTCGCAGCTACACCTCCCTGGTAACCACCTTGATCGAGCAGCATCGTAAATTGGACCGTAGCGCGAGCGAGCCAACCTCTCGCTATAAAACCGAGCTGTGTCGACCTTTCGAGGAAAGCGGCACTTGCAAATACGGCGACAAGTGTCAGTTCGCTCACGGCTATAGTGAATTGCGAAATCTTGCCCGCCATCCGAAATACAAAACTGAGCTATGCCGTACGTTCCACACGATAGGCTTCTGTCCATACGGGCCGCGTTGCCATTTCATTCACAACTTCGAGGAGGCGAGGATTCACAATCAAAAAGTGAGCGCGCAATTGGGGTCTACGCAACCGAATATCATGGGACTGAATCCCCTGCTAAGCGCAGCGGCGGCTGCGGCCGCGGCTGCAGCCGCGGGTGGAAATGCTTGCAATGGTTCCAGTGTCAATCAAACCGTGAACAGCGTTAGCCTTCTCGAGCAAATTGTAGCCCCGCCACAAGTTGCAGCGGCGGCGGCGGCAGCAGCAGCAGCAGCTGCAGCGACTCCAAGCCTCATGAGAGCCAACTCGTTAAGCCTATGCAGCAGCACCAACACATACAACCCACCGCCGCTGCTCAGAACGAATTCCTTGAGCTTGACTACCACCCAGCATCACCACCATCACCACCACCACCATCATCATCAGACTGGTTCCACGGGTGTCAGCTCGGTTATCGGCGCCACCAGGCCGAAGCCGTTGAATCTGAGCCCGACCTTCTCTCTCGGCAGCACGGGAGAATCCATCTCGCCGTCGTCGAGCCTCAGCCAATCGCCGACGAACTCGATGGCCAGTTTCTTCAGCGACGATTGCAGTCAACAACCGTCAGTTAGCCAGGCCACCACGGCGTTCAGTTTCGGCCAAGATTTCGGACTGCTCGCGACAAGACAGAGCCCTAGTCCGCGAACGAATAGCGTTTGCAGTCCCCTGGGCTCGGACGAACTAACGCCACGAACACCGTCACCGTTGTCGCCGAACGCAGAGTCCAGATTGCCCGTTTTCAACAGGATCAGTAACACTCTTAACGATTTTGAAAATCTGAAGATCTAAGTTGCTTTTACAAGCCTCTTGGACTCTTTGGTATATTTTTCAAATTTTTTTTTCTCTCGAATATTGATGGCTCACGAAACACGTTCAAAGGAAAGAGAAGACAAAGAGCATTGGACCTGAAATATGCTAATTTATTTACCGAAAAGACAGGAGAATATGAGGGAGAGAGGACGGGCTCTCACACAGACTTGAGGAAGAAGTTTCTTTAATTTTCTTTTGTTTTTTAAATCGTTTGAGCTGCATTTCTCGCGTGGGACGGATCTTCCTCTCCGTCGTACTCGGCTTCTTATTTAAGCGTTTCTTTTCTGTTCGTAGGACACGTTAGATATCTTACTCCCGTTCTTTAAATAATCGTCTCTTCCTTTTTATCATAATCGTCTTGATTATTAGTATGTATATGTGTGTGTATATATATATAAATATATAATAATTAATATTATTAATCACGTTATCAGTAATATCGTTATCGATACTGAATATCGTCATTATTCTTAACTGCATTAGTAGCGTCAGCCACTGTCTGACTTTGACCACGAGGGCCGTTTCTTCTCTTTTTTTTATCTTTACTTTAGATTTACTTTAGTTTAGCGGAAAAATCGAGATTGTATCAGCCCGGATGTCTCGACCGGCTCGTGAAAATCCTTGGACGATTCAGCTGCGGGAAAGGAAAAAAGAGACCCGACAGCAAGGATAAGAGTACCCGGCGACGCGTCGCGTCGCAGCAATAAGCCGCTGAAAAGAGGGGGGGGGGGGGAGACCAAGTTTCTTTCGAATCGTAACTTTCCTCGTGCAAGTTGTTCTTTGATCTCCGTTGGACCCACGCCAGGTCCTGATTCTTTTCTCCGACTCTTATGTCAGCCACATCTTTGCTCGTTCGGGCTCTCTCTTCCATCGCCCACGGGGAGGCTCGCGAGGCGTCATTCTATCCGGGGCAGGTGAAACGTTGCAATATTCCCAAACTAAAGTTACGTTTCTTTTTCGAATCCCTTCGTTTGGGACGAAGGGAAGGGAAAGTCGCTTTGAGAGTGAAAGGGAGGCGAGAGCAAGTCGCACGCGCGAGAGAGAAAGGATAATGGTTAGGCGAGTAGATAAAAAGAGAAAGAGTGGTACTATATACTGTGGGGTGGGAGTGTTTGGAGGGGTGGGGGGGGGGGGGGGAGAAGCACGTGAAACGGATCAACAATCAAGCATCATGGTATGCAAATTAAGTGGCTTAGGAACTCCGATTGTCTTCCAATGTTTGAGTGAGTGAAAGTGTATTTGTGTGCGTGCGCAGCCAAGCAGGAGAAGGATGGCCAGACGTGGCGGTGAGAGCAGGCAATGTGGCAATGAGCAAAAGGGAGATAATAAGAGAAAGTGGTGCGTCCGTGAGTGTGTGTAGCATTACGCATGGGAAACGGACGTGTCCTCCGAGTAAATGAATGAAAGTGTGCTCGTTTAAGGATAAGTTACACAAAGCCGTTAGATATATTTTTCTAGACCGGTAGTCGTTTATGTCTTTCGATCGATTCGCTTCGAAGGCGAGCTTTTTTTTTTACGATAAACACAAAACAGTGTACGTTTTGACACCTTGTTTCTTCATTTTTTTTCCTCGAAAAATTGTTGGAATTCGTGACCAGATTTACTTTTCTAAAACCCTCCTTTTATCAATTTTTGATGGTTAGACAGTTTTCATTTTTCTCCACTTCTGAATTGTAAAAATTCTCGTGGACCGTAGCTTTTTAGGACATTTTTTTTTATATGCTAAATGATATCTTCTATGATGATTCCTTCCTTCTGTCGTTTGTTGGACGAAGACAAGGACGGACTTTATTTTTTGATTGAAAGATCTGCAGAGCCAATTTTTCCGAAGAGATGTTTAAGGCAATTTTACCAAATAAAATCTCGACAGTTAAGGCTTTAACCGTTTCGGTACGGCGAACATTTACGCGACCGTACGTAAGTATTTGGTGACTTTCAGTTGAAGTCGATGATCCTACCGAAAAGGTTAATAATTGCAACGAAAGGCAGAATAGTAATATAAGAATATCGATGTGGCTTCCTCGTAGTGCCTTAAAGCGGGCCTCGATTGTATCTAATGAATGACGAATGAATGGTGACTGAGAGAGTGAGTGGGAGAGAAAGAAAGAAAGATCATTAATATCGTGGTATATATGTACATTATTCTCTCCCATTAAAAAATGTGATATGTAACTATTGCAATAGAAATATAAACTATTACTAAAAAGAAATATTCTATTATAAAGCGTCAACAAGAGGGAGAGAAGAGAGCAAGGGGGAATGGGAGGGAAAAGCGGAATGGAGAGTGAATGGGATCAATGAGGCGGCGTATATCTTGAGAGTGCTTCCACGGAAGAAATCATTTTTCGCGCCTAGGGACATTCGAAATTATGTTTCGAAAACATGGAATGATGCGCCAAGTATCTCGAGTGACGTTTGGAAAAGGAAAACTATAGAAGAGCTGGGATTATTCAGCCGGGCTATTATCGAGATTAAATTCGAATCGATCTTCTCGCTGAAAAACGCTTATTTCAGCCTCGCGCCGTCTCTTCGAGAATTCTGAGAGAGTTTAAAGGAAACTAAAACACACAATATGAAATAAAAGTGCCTAAATGACGTGGTTTCTGAAAATCGAATACATTTTGTATATATACACACCACATACTTCTTATACTAAAACAAAAAATGTTTTCGTATAATTTATACTTGAAAGCAAATGTTATTGTAGTTTTAGTTTATTATTAATATTATTATATTATTATAATTATATATCTCACCATTTGCTACTTTATCTGGTCAATTGTTTCTTTTTTCTACCATTTTATTTTTCTTTTCTTCCTTCTTGAATACGACGAAAGCAACTGTGAGCGCTCATGTAGTCGGTTGCTTCGACAATCGCCGCACCGTTCAGAACTTCGAACTAAGGTCAATTAGTCCCCGTGTCTTATCTCATATTGCCGTCACTTGTGTGTGTGTGCGCGCGTGTGTGTATATATACACATATATACATACATACACATTATATTGTTGCTATTATTATTAATATTATCGCTATTACTACTTCTACTGCTATTACTAATTCTGCTGCTATTACATACTACTACTCTCACTACAACTACGACTATCACTGCTACTATTGCCGGCCTAGCATTTCCACAGACCGTTGCATCTCACCATCGTTGTCACCGATCATATCACCATTTATTATAACGATTTCGCGCCAGGGAGCAATAAAACCTTTTTTTGTTTGTGCCCAGTTCGCGATTCAACTTTGTACATCTATTAACTAAACGAACACTATTTAATTTTTACCCATATCGCATCAAAACTTTTCACTTCTCTCGTGCCAACACGCTTCCTTCACAAGGAATGCTTTTTTTTTTAGAAGGAACAATCGGTTATTTTCGAATTCTTTCAGTGCAAGCCGCGTGGCCTCTTTTATGTTTTTTACTCGACAGGGCATAAAGACGGCAGGATTCAGCAAAAACGATAATACTTGCAGAAAATATACCGGTTTCATTTTCTAAAACAATAAATCGTCATAAACATCTTCTGTCATTCGTCGCAGATCACAAATTTCTAATTTCCTGTTCTTTTCGAATTTAATAATATTCAATAGAAGGAAAAAAAAGAGAAATCAGGTTCAGATTTTAGCAAAACGTCCACTCATACGTCAACTGGCAAAGGCACGGTCAGTTGCATGCGCATCGTTTAGAAAATCCCGTGACGCGCGAGAGGGTCAATCGGAGCGAGACGACGCCGACGGGCCCCGTGCAAACCTGCCGGACGGGCACAGGAACGGACTGTGGGACAGAGAGAAAAGAGTCACGTTTGCCGTGCGCGGAGAGTGAAAGTCCCCGAGAGTTTCTTCCCACTCGGCCGGGATCAGTACATAAAAAGATGCGTGGGCATCAGGGGCGAGGGGAGGGGGGAGTTATTCCACCGCGTTCTCCAAAATCAAGGCACTGCACGCTCGTCTGTCCCACTCGGAGTGAAACCGGGAAAAACGTTCTCTCGACATTGCTAGCCCAACAACTAATCCGTACGCGACGATGACATAAGTAACGCCGGCACAACCGTTTCGAAACCGTTATTTCGATGCTACTGAAGGGGTTCCTTCGTTGTTCCGTCGATATTACCTTGTTTCTGTAGCTTTCCAAGGCCCACGGATCTTCCCCTATTGTTTTTCTTGATGGCCAACGAGGGCCAGAACGCGTTCGATAGAGGGTTTCTTGGCTTTTCGTGTGGTGTCCTGTCTAGACTGAAATATGGACAATTGTTTTTTTTTTCGGCTGTAATAATTGATTATTATTTATTTTATCGGTATAGTTCGCACGAGAGAGATGACGTTGTCCTCATTTTTTCGTTTGTCTGTCCGTGGTTTGCGCAAACACCGAGCGGAACGAGGCGTTGCGAATGTTAAGTGGGGTGAACACCTTAATTTCAATTGTCGACTCGTTTCCCAGCTAATCATCGTGGACTAGTGTTCATTCACTTTTTTTTAATTTATTTTTTTTTTAATTCGATCGGCCCGCACACTTTGGCTCTCCGAGTATTTATTTCTTTGTGTACGGTTACGGAATCGAAGTGGATCGTTAAGCCGAAGCGAGCGAGTGAATTAGAAAGAAAAAAAAGATTTGAGTGGGAAGAGAGAGAGAGAGTATCTTTTTTTTAGTTGATTAGTGCAATTAATATTATTATCTATTTATTTGAACGATCATTTTTAAGACGATAGATTTTTACAGAGTTCAAAAATATGCATCTTTTCTTAATTTTTCCCCCATATTTGTTTTCGTCGTCACCGAAGGAGCGTGTGCGTAATTCTTTCCAAGTGTCACGTGATAAAAAGCCACGAAATTTTCACGGAACAACTGTCCACGGTCCCGCACGACCGCCCGACAGAATGCAGCAAGTGACTAAACCATTAATCCCGATCGAAACGTGCGGGGGGGGGACTCTGTCGCAGCGCCGAATGACTCCGATTTCGTACCCTCGTGTTATAGACTTGACAACTCATACATATAAATATAATATTATTAATAAATAATACATTTTAGGTTACACCTCTTTTTTAATTTAATATATTTATTTTTTCAATCAAGTATTTATATATTTATACAATATTTTATACAACGTTCTTCACAGAGACACGCTGATTAAATGTAACAACGCGTTACGACAATGTAATGTGACAGGTCGATCTCTTGGCTCTCAGAGAAAACCGATCATTCTAAC